GCTTTTGAAAGTTTAGCTTTATACAAGAGTTTACAAGTTTTTTTTTTGTTTCCTGCCAGCCAGTGAAAAAGTAGAAGAGCAAGGCGCGTAACATGTGTTTCTAGGAATACGAGGGACTAGTTATAAATTTACACCGCCGGTTAATTAATACCACATTTTTGGCCTAATCTTGAAACCAACAGGCTTAATTATTTGCTTTTTATATATATATAAAAGTCGTTTAAAAAAATACAATACTAATCATATCGTATTGAACAATAGAAACCATACAGATATCGCGTGTGTGAGATGGATTACAGCTAGGAAGAAAGGAAAAAAGAGAGAAAGAAATAAGGGAAGATAAAAAAGACGACATGGAGAGACAAAGACAGAGAAAATAGAGAGAGAGAGAGAGAGAGAGAGAGAGAGAGAGAGAGAGAGAGAGAGAGAGAGAGAGAGAGNTAAGGAAGAGAGATAAATATATAGATGCATATACAGAGAGAGAGAGTGTGAGAGTGAGGAGGGAAAGGGATTGAGAGAGAGAGAGAGAGAGAGAGAGAGAGAGAGAAAGAGAGAGAGAGAAAGAGAGAGAGAGAAAGAGAGAGAGAAAGAGAAAGAAAGAAAGAGAGAAAGAGAGAGAAAGAGAGAGAAAGAGAGAGAAAGAGAGAGAAAGAGAGAGAGAGAGAGAGAGTGAGAGTGAGAGAGAATTATCATTATAAGATAAATTAAAAGATTTTCTAATCAGGCCAGTTATTTATAGAGTTAATCAAGGAAATCGGAGGATCTTTTAACACAAATTACACTATTTTACTAAAGTCTACGTTTATTTTCGTAACAATGTGTTTTCAGTCGTTTTATAATAAAGTTCACGTCTTTTGATTTACGCAGAGCCGTTGAAATTCAACAGCTGAATGGTGGAAGGCGGTACGATTGCAGTAAACGATTGTCCATCTACCTAATTTTCGAACTGACTGGAATAATAACCCTGGAGCTTTATTCGAAGATTTCCGAATCATTCTTTAGAGAGCCTTTATATAAAGTTTGGTCACGTTTTCCACTCTCAGTTCTTTTCCAAGTTGGAGAACAAGCGCCTTCCCCCTGGTTTCAATGTGTATCTATGGCTTCTCGCGTTCGGTCCGAGGATTTAGTTTTATTAACAATATTTTCCGTCCGATTTAATTAAGGTCGAACATGGCGTATGAAAAAAAGAAAAAGGTTTGATAATACCTCTGAAAAAACTAGTTAGAAAATAAGTTATTAATAATGCGTAATATTTAGCGGACCGTTAAGTAATGATTATTCGTGCACAAAATGTAAATTTTTGTTATCGTGCCAACGTTTCAGTCTTTATCGATATCATCTTCTCAGCCTGGGAATAACATATACAATAAATATTGTTTAAATTGTACAAATACATATAAGATATGACTATGAATTTATACAATGATGTTCACAGTATAGAAATTTTAGGTTTAATCAAAGTATTTGTACTCACTCAAGTGTTTTCTGTGTAGAAGTCTTAGTACTGTGTATTGGGTTGAGATGTTAGTGTTTAGATATTAATGTTTTTTGTTTATATATGTTCGATTTTGAAGGAAGTAGGGTTCTTTGAGGTGAAAAGTACCGACAATGGGAAAAAAAAAGATAATTGTTTGTCGTTTGGGCCTGGTTAACCAGGATTATTATAGTCGGGATATCAATCATATCGTATTCAACAATAGAAACCATACAGGTATCGCGTGTGTATGAGATAAGATACAGATAAGAAGAAAGGAGAAAAAGAGAGAGAAAGAAATAATGGATCATAATAAAAGACGAGATGGAGAGACAAAAAAAGAAAAAATAAGCGTGTGTGAGAAGGAGAAACAAGATAGATAGATAGATAGGTAGATAGAGATAGATAGATAGAGAGATAGATAGATAGATAGGTAGATAGNAGAGAGAGAGAGAGAGAGAGAGAGAGAGAGAGAGAGAGAGAGAGAGAGAGAGAGAGAGATGATTATTATAGTCATCATTATTACGGAAAGGAGAGATAATTTGTTGAAGATTTAGACTATTTAGAATTGTTTGATTTGTGGAGTGTAATGATTGTTTTATATGTTTTGTGTTTTATATGTTTGTTATTGAGATTGGGCAAAAAATGTAACAACATAAACCTGGGATTATGCAATAATAAGTATATTACCAAAAAATTAACTTTTGGAGTCACATGATCAACATTCAATTATCATAAGCAAATAATGATTTACTAGTCCTCAATGTACTGGCACAAATTAATTTATTATTGTTATTCTATAGCAACTAACTCGTGTTTAATTAAAATAAGTATGTACATTTTAGAATCAGGAAAAACAATTTCCTTTATACGCCGACAGTGGGTTTTTTGTTTTACCATTTGTTGAAAAATTTTTCCCAGTTCATCCTGATCCGCCTAATCTCGCTGTGCATTTATTTATTTAAAGCACAGATTTTTTATTGTTAACATAGAACAACCCTTGATGGTCCTTTGGAAAAGGTCATTTGTTATTCCATTAGTGAAAAAATCACCGCCCAAAGACTGTGCCTCTTACAGACTCATAAATATCACCTGTACGTTAGGAAAAATTCTAGATAAAATAGTGTTTTTACAACTTAATCAATATCGTGAATCTAAAAATATAATTTATCCATATCAATCTGGTTATAGATGAGCACATAGCACGGAAACTGCTTTAATTATGACGTCGGATGAAATAAGGGAAAACATAGATAACGTAAAATGACCATCATTACCTTAGTTGACTTTAGTAATGCTTTTAACAGTATAAATCAAAAAATCTTAATAGCAATCCTGAAATCAATAAATTTATTCAATAATGTAATTAATCTCTCCTTTCCGTAATAATCGCGACTATAATAATCATCTCTCTCTCTCTCTCTCTCTCTCTCTCTCTCTCTCTGTATATGCATCTATCTATCTATTTGTCGCTCTCACACTCTCTCTCTTTTTCTCTTTCAATCCGTCTCTCTCTCTCTCTATCTCTCTCTCTCTCTCTCTCTCTCTCTCTCTCTCTCTCTGTATATGCATCTATCTATCTATTTGTCGCTCTCACATTCTCTCTCTTTTTCTCTTTCAATCCGTCTCTCTCCCTCTCTCTGTATATGCGTCTATATATCTATTTATCTCTCTCTCTTTTAATTATCATATTCAATATCTATATGTGAAATTAATTACATGTCTCAGATTCATGATAGAGATACTAGGTTTGCAAACTACCGTCTGCGTGTAGTTAGCACAAAACCAAAACTTTTAATAGGTCATTCTCAGTAAAAGGTGCAATAATATTTTTGAGAATCCCTACACACATAAAACGATGTAAAAATACCAAAGATTTCCAGAATCGTCTTAAAAATCATCTCTTATCTTGTTATGACTGTTGTCTCAAATTTGACTTCTTTTCTTGTTTTGTCTTGTTTTAGTTTTACGTTTTTGGTTAGTTATATTACTATTTAGTGAGTAAAGTTTTATTTGTACATTTATATTGGTGATTTAAAATTTATTATTATTTTGTACCGCATTTATTGAAAATTATTTTTGTTCACTTTAATTATTTTATTTTATTAGTAATCTGCTTTTTATCTGCTTAGTTATTATGTAAATTAGGATATTTATTTCAATAAGCAATTTTAAGTAAAAGTTCAATGTAAAACGAATAGACGGAACATATTGACCACAAAAATAAAGTTATTCGATGTAATTAATATTTAATAAATTAGAAGTAGGTTAAATTTAGAAACCATTGTATTTCACATTAGATGTAAGAATGGTACTTGAGACCAAATCTTGTGTGATTGATATATAAAGCGTTCATCATCATCATCATCATCATCATCTCTCTCTCTCTCTCTCTCTCTCTCTCTCTCTCTCTCTCTCTCTTTCTCTCTCTACACGCTTACATACACACTTTTTTATTTTCTCTCTTCTCTCTCTCTCCCTCTGAGAAATCGGGCAAAGTGGAAGATGACCAGTTGACAGCTTATTAAAATTTCCTATTGATTGCTACAGGGCGCCGCTCCAGGTCGATTTCCTGGCTCCACAGCTCAATTTGAAGTTTTCGTAAAATGGACAAAATTAACATGCTCCCACATTTTTGAATTTACTGATAAACGAATGAAGCTAGGAAAACATTTAAAAACTCCATCTTGTTCAGCGTAAAATTTCCTTAAAATGAGACCTAGCGCAGGGCTGTATATTAAAGGCTGAGGAAATAAATATGCGTTTCCAAATTTGGCCATTTTTTCGTGTAAAAACCAGGTGGTCGGTTTTTTTATGGGCAGTGTAGCTATTATATTGAACAAGTTATTTAGGATTCAAATTATTTATCAAGATTTTTGTTGAAGTTATTTTCATCAGGGGTAAAGGATTCGTATTTTTTTTTTTTTTTTTAGCAAAATTGATTTTTTGATAGATCTAAATTTTCAATTTTCACTTGTGTAGTTACAATTATTTTTTTTTTTTAACAGTTTCTTTTTGTATTTTTAGACATCGAGTAGCGGGGCAGCCTTTAAACTCCGCGAGTTCATCATGGAAGCCCTATATACGAACGGCTGATTAATTTCCATTTGTAAAGGGCCAACGTACGTCGAAGTTGTTTTTCACAAAGCGGAAAATTCTACGGATTCCCAATTTTTTGTTCTCGCCTTGGCGGCCTTTTGGACCCATTGTCCCCAGCGGTTGAACGGCTAGTGAACTTTGTTAACCAGATTTATGTCACAATGGGAATAAGATCACCGATCGATCTCTACAGCGGATAAACTACCTTGTCGCCTAAAAGTTGACGCAACAAGAAAAGTTGTTATTACAATTTTGGTTTTTGATTGTGACAGCATTAAGTTAAAGAAAAGTTAATTTTGTACATATTACAAGCAACATTTAGTAGTTAAAATCATACTTCAAAAACTATATTATTTATTATTTTTTGTAATTAGAATAGTTAAAATAAATGGAATTACTCAATAAAAAATATTAAAAGTTTACTTACTAAGGGTAAGTCCCATTTTCACCAGGCAATGGCTGCGACGATACATGATCGTCGTCGAGTTCGAAATGTTCTTCCATGGCTAGCTGCAACACATAAAAACAAACCGTCAAAATTTTATGAATTAGCAGGAAAACAGCGATGCTAGACGGACGACCGCATCACCTTAATGCCAGTTGCAATTTGGTACGATTTTGCCACCAGGGCGGCCATTATCTCAAGACCTTATCTGCCAAATATCTACCCCTCCAGCGACCCCAATTAACTCGGCGACCTATTATGCAACGCGAGATTTTTAAACTTTCATCGATTTGAATTAGGACTTCCGTTTTTATTTTTGTCTGGTTAGTTTGTTAACCCAGGACATGCCACATGCAATTTTACACCGACGGTCCATCAGAAAAGGGTTTCGCGGATGATTCACGATGCATATTGATTAGGCGTAGCCTTTGTTTCCGATATGACCGTTTCCTCGAATCTTAATGATGTCGGTGAGCAAGTTGATGTTACCTGGTCCAGATTAATTTACTTACACAGCATATAATACAACAAAAAGGAAATACACCAATTAATCATTATATACTAAAGTTGAAGTACAAATATACTATTTATTTCTTGTTCAAATAAATTTATTGTAAGAATAGGTTATTACTCTCTTTCTCTCTCTCTCCTTCTTCCTCTCTCCCTCTTTCTGTCTGACTGCCTGTCTGTATCTCTCTCTCTTTCTCTGTGTTTCTCTCTCTCTCCTTCTTTGTCTCTCTGTCTCTCTTTGACTTTCTCTCGCTCTTTCTCTCTCTGACCCTCTCTCTCTCTCTCTCTCTCTCTCTCTCTCTTTCTCTATCTATCTATCTATCTCTATCTCTCTGTTTCTCTCTCTGTCCTTCTTTGTCTCTCTGTCACTCTTTGTCTTTCTCGAGCTCTTTCTCCCCCTCTCTCTATCTCTCAGCCTCCCTCCCTCTCGCTCTGTTTCTCTGTTTGTCGGTCTCTCTCTCTCTCTCTCTCTCTTTCGTCCGCTCTGTCTTTCTGCCTTTTTGTCTGTTTGTTGGTTTCACTATCTCTCATTCCCTCTCCGCCTTTTTCTCTCGTTTTCCATCTCTCTTTCTGTCTCCTCACTCTTTCACTCACTCCCCTCTCTCTGTCTCTTTTCTTTCTCAAAAAATAAAAACATAAGATAAAACACAACAATTTTAAAGTTATTAAAATATAGCCGTTCTTTATTACTCAGATACATTCTCTTTCTCATAATAATGTATGCACGTATATTTAGTAAAATCTTTTGATTTTGTTAATTTTTGTTCAGACGAAAATGATTGGACAGTTTCAGACTGCAACAGGTTTGTTAATAGGGACAGAGATAATTGGAAGGCACTGGTGGTCAATAATCTAATAAAACTAATTTATTAAATTAAACGGTCATACGGGCTTTTTTATGGTCCAGTTAACGAAGTAATAAATCCTAATAAACAATTTAGAAATCCGTCAAAGGGACAATAAAGGTGCGGAAGTGGGAAAATAGTTTCCAAACCGGGTAGGTGTGGACCAGTACAATGGCCCTACTTCCTCTTACAAATAACCTTCCTCCGGTCTTCGGCCGTGCAGCAGCTACGCAGCCATTATACAGGGTATTGCAATTACCGGAGCCACCCTGTTATATACAATTAGACAGAACCACTTGCCAGCATCTGTTGCCCACCGTTTAACATTTAAATATCAAAGACAAAGCCCTCGGCCAATTATGAGGTCGGCCGGGCCGAATTGGGGTCAATTAGTTTCCCTCATCTGACTCAGGCTATAGACCTGCGAGTAAATTATTACGGACGGTATTGTAATTGAAAATGGCAGGCTGTGATAGGTTCAACACCTCGATTGTCGTCGAACAGCCGTATAAATCAATAATAAACGTGACTTCAAGCGATCCTATTGAACTAAAAAAAAAGTTTGTATGAAGATGAATTGAAAATATATTGACCACTTTGTCGTCCTTTCTTTGAAATAATAATGGTGAGCACAACATTTTTGGCTCAAGTCGAACATTAACAAATTTATGTCGATCTGTATCTTATTACACAATTATAATTAATATTCTTTCAAAATGAACATATAGAAGATATCTTTATGTAACGTATCACGAGCGGGATTCGAACCCACGACCTTCGGCTAAATAGGGCGCTGCTCTACCACTCGAACTATTCTCACTTCGATCCACTCAGACACCTTTTTCTCAACCTGAAAGTAACATGTCCCAGAATTTTTTAATCAACCTCAGCAAACCCTAATTTTAACCATAACCCTACATCCGCTGTCACATTCCTATCTTAGCCCGACCTAACAACGTTGACATAAATTCTTTTCAATTAGTTAAAGTTTTGGTTGAGATAAAAAAGTCAGTGCCACAAGCGGGATTCGAACCCATGACCTTCGGCTAAATACGACGCTTCGATCCACTCGGACACTAACTTCTCATCTCATCCCATCCTTTTTGAGTTTTACCTCCTTTTTGCTATTTTTCAAGTGGCTTGAAGTCACGTTGGCTCAAGTGGTAGAGCGTTCGAATCCCGCTCGTGGCACTGACTTTTTTATATTAAATTTTATCTTCTATATTCATTAGATTTCGTGGTCCGATTGACCAAATTTCTTTATGAATCAAAATCAAATCTCGTCGATATACTTTCGGGAAATGTAACTTAAGACTAACACGTTTGTTAAATGAAAATCCTTATAAAATCTCTAGAGTGGGAGAGAGTGCTGATGACAATTCTAGGAGCAACACCTGCATCCTAGCATTGTCATCACATTATTTATTTAACAAAATGTTTNTATATATATATATTATGCCTATGCGTATATGTATTTTTTGGTGGGTACAGGCAGCGTGAAAAAAAGGGCCCGGGGCAACATTGGGAATCGAATCCACGACCGGGCGAACCGAGGGATCATATGCTAACCACTTTTATCTTTTAACTAACTTTTCTACACTTTGAAAATTATCAGAGACAAATTGAGCAAATTATAAGGTGTGAAATTGAAAAAAAATGGAGCGTATTGTTTGAATTTTGGTTTCTCCAAAACATCACATTTTGTCCGCACAGTTAAGATTCAGATCATTTGTCAGCCCTTTGATCATCCCAGATTGCGACAAATTATATTAGCAACTAAAAACAAAACAAAAACAGATGGTATAGAATTATCAAAGAAACCGAAAAATCCAAAACTTTGTAATTATTTACTCAAACAATCGCTGACATGTGTATTAAAGAAGATGTAATTGCTCAATTAGAAAAAGAGAAATTTTTATATACTTTTGAGTTCCGAATTTCTAGTTTTCACGTAAATAATATAAAGATAAAATTAGCCAAGTTGAAATGGTTAGGTTCATTTAGGAAGTAAGAGAGGAGCAATTAAACAATTAAGGCTAATCTGAAGTCTCTATGAATCAAAACTAAAGCATGCGTAGGATCATGAGCTTTAACTGGTTTGAATAAATATAAATAAATTAAATAATATAAATAAAATTAATAATTTAATATATAAAAATAACGAGTTAGTATTGTGATTAATCAATCTCCTAAATAAATGTTAACGGGCCCAGGTAAAGTACCGAATCATCAGTCATCAAAACAACTCAACTCTAAATCGAAAGACACGCCTGTGTAATTTGGAGCCGATTGAGGACAGACTACACCTTTTCTTATTTTCAGTCTAATTTAAAAGTGATGACAAGATAAAACGAAACATAAGTGAAATTTCTTGAAATATCAGGTCTTATAATAAAAAAGAGAGAGAGAGAGAGTGGGAGAAAGAGAGAGAGAGAGAGAGAGAGAGAGAGAGAGATAGAGAGAGAGAGAGTGAGAGAGAGATAGAGAGAGAGTGAGGGAGATAGAGAGAGAGAGTGTGAGAGAGATAGAGAGAGAGTGAGAGAGAGATAGAGAGAGAGTGTGAGAGAGATAGAGATAGAGATAGAAAGAGAGTGAGAGAGAGAGAGAGAGAGAGAGATAGAGATAGAGATAGAGATAGAGAGAGAGAGTGTGTGAGAGAGAGAGAGTGAGAGTGAGAGAGAGTGAGAGAGAGAGAGAGAGAGATAGAGATAGAGAGTGAGAGAAAGATAGAGAGAGAATGAGAGAGAGATAGAGAGAGAGAGTGAGAGAGAGATTGAGATAGAGATAGAGTGAGAGAGAGATAGAGAGAGAGATAGAGAGAGAGTGAGAGAGAGAGTGAGAGAGAGAGAGATAGGTAGATAAATAGACAGATAGACAGATGTAGCTCATGTAGTATGGTAGAAAACTCAATATTACAGCAACGGCTTTCTCACACATACACTCTTATAAATACATTTCTTTTCCCTGCACACAAACGAGATACACACGAAGCAAAAAGTCCTGTATCGTACACAAACATGGGGCCCAAATAGTCGCTATTCAAACACAATTACCATTTCGGGTGACATTCCTACACGCTTTCTATAATGACATCCTGCGTTTGCCAAAAGTAAGTGTCCCAATGTCAATTTCGCTAGGCCCAATTTGTATTGATGACTAAAACGTAATATAATAGAAAAATTGAAATTAAATTTTATCCATCGCTTAAAACTGATTTTCTCGCAAGATGTTTTTTTTTGGATTTCGTGTACAGTACCCCTCGAAAATATTATGTACGGATCCTACCAAGCATACGATTAGAAAGCTTGTTAAAAGAGTTCTCTCTCTAAAAATTCTTGTCACAGCTTAGTGAGTTTGTAAAATTCTTCCAAGATTTCGTAGGTTTTTATCTGGGAAACGGCTATCAGTGAAAAGATGCAATATCTCTCTCTCTTTTTTTTTCAAAATTTAACTTAAATTTGAACAACTGCCTTCATTTTGATGAAAAGTACATATGTAAGTAAGAGAGAAAATTTTTTTTTCTTGTCACAAGTCTTTTTTTCGAAGACGGTTAGGAAATACTTCTTCCGAATTATTCATTATTATAGAATTGAAATTAATTAATATGACAGATCATTTACAATTATAACTTTAACGTTCATTGCTTTATTTAGTAATTTTTATATTTGTAGAAAGACGTATCTTATAACCAAAAGGATCTGGAGGAATTT